AATCTACAGGCTGTTTCAAAAGTCTCAGCACCACTTTAAGTTTTAACAATTTCAGAAATACAAATGCTGAAATTTAACAGCAAACATCACTGGAAGTATTAAATATTTATAGTTTGCTACATAACTAGTTTTGTGAATTTTAAATAGCAGTGCTCATGTTAATTTTTTTAGTCCTCTTGACAAGGGATAGTAAATATACATTAACCTTAAAAATGTATATTTCTGTGCAACAGAGTTACTATAGTTAATAACATTGTACTACATTCTTGAACATCCCTATAAAAACAGATTTTATGTGTTCTCACCAAAACTCTGATAAGTAAGGCACACATTAATTGGCACAGTCTGGCTTTTTTGCAAGGTAGACACATCTTCCAAACATGCAGTATGTGATAAACTATATACAGTTTTTGTCAAATAAGTAAATTATATTTTAAAGTGCCTACAGTAAATTTAAAAGAAAATTAAATGAATAAATTTTTGATAAGGTTTGAAAGTCTACAGCACTTATATATGTAAGTCATCAAAGCAGAATGAGCACTAAGCCTTGGAGACACTCGAGATATTTCTTAGGCCTTTTAGTTCTGAAATATGGGTCTCCCAGTCTAGAAATTTCAGGAACAAAAGGAACTCAGCAGATAAGCTGCATATGCAAAAGGAGACAGGAGTTCTCTACAGTAAAGTGATGTAGGAAAAATGTTTTAGGTAAAGGTAAAGGGCATGACTGTTAATCCTGGAATGTCAACCTCATTGGATTTAGAAGCCCTTAGCAGATTAGTAGAGATTATTAGAGCATTGCTCTTAGTGTATCTGGGTGGGTCATGGAGGTATGGCCTTGGGGACTGTATCTGGTCCCTGGCCCCTTCCTCTCTGTCACTGTTCCTCTGCTCTGCTTCCTGACTGCCATGAACTAAGCATCTTTGCTGTTCCACACACTTCTGCCATGATGGAGTGCCTGACCATGGACTGAATCTCCCCAAACCGTGAGCCAAAATATACCTGATCCAGAAACTTGCCTAACACAAAGGGAAAGTCTTAAAAACATTACAATAAAACAAAAATGTTTCTTATTTAGTAAAGGATAAAGAAAATAAAACCCTTCTTTAATCACTTAGAATAGAAGGTGTGATCTCTCTACACAGGGTGTTACTACAGTACTTTTTTAATGCTAATTACCTATCGTAGGGAACTATTCACATTAGTATCAGTCCCAAGGGGACATTTCTTTTCCAAAAGAACTTGAAATATCTCTTCTTTCATCAACAAACTCCAACAAAAATGATGCAGCTAAGAAAGTTTCCTCCTGACACTACGTGTATGGATGACTGGCCATGCGTAGGAGAGCATCTTTCCAAAGGCAACTTCCTCTTGGTCTCCCTGTAAGAGCTAAAGTGCCGCTGTACCTCCAACCCCCTCAATCCCCCTCTCCCATTACCTGGGCACCGAGTGAGCCCCGCAGTAAGTGGCCGAGATACCCACTGGCAGCTCCCGCCTGGCGCGCTCAATCACTCGCAGCATCTTGAGCTCATCACTCAGGGCTAGGCCGTAGCCGCTCTTGCACTCCACCAGCGTGGTGCCAGCCCTCAGCATGCACTGCAGCCGCTGCTGCAAGGAGCAGAACAGCTCCTCCTCCGAGGCCTGGCGGGTGCGCTCCACGGTGAAGTTGATCCCCCCTCCGGCCTGGTGGATGTCCATGTACGTGGCTCCTGCCAACTGAACACACGGCTCAGGCAGGGTGGGTTGCCGGCAGGGCTCCAGAACCCACCTCCAAGGGTGCTATTTAAAGATAACTGAGTACAGCCAGGAGCTGTGGTGCAATAATCCCAGAACTCTGGGAGGCTTAGGCAGGCAGATCACAAGTTCGAGCACAGCCTGCTCAATTTAGCGACTTAATGAGATCCTGTCCCCAAAATTAAAAAACGAGTTGGAGATGTGGCTCAGTGTGAAGGCACTGGGTTCAATCCCCAGCACCTAGACACTGGACTGTGGGGTCCTCAGGAGGGGATCTCAGGAAGGCACTGCAGAGGCAGAAATGGAGGGGTGGTGGGTGGGCAGTTGGGGGGTTCAGAATAGCAGCAATTGAAAACCGGTACAGGAATATTTCAGTGTATTGATAACCCAGTCTTTCCTGTCTCCTCACCCACCCCCCCCATGTGAACCAGCTAAGTCTTGGCCCTCCTTGCACCCCTGAGCAAGTTTGAGAAAGCAAGGGGCTTAGGGGGTTCAGGGAACCCCCTACAATTCAGATGCTCACTACAGAGTCCCAGGATAGTTTCCATGTCTCAGTAGTTAGGCACCAGACTTTGAAGCCTGTCCTTTGTCACTCAAGCAAACAGAGGCTCTTCTTGGGGGCCCATGGGCTCCAATCACTCTGGACAGCAGGTGCAGCCCAGGTCTTCAGGGCGGAGGTGTGACCTGGCCCTGCCATCCTGGGCCCTTCCCAGGACTTGTGTCTGTCAGTACAATGGCTGCATCAGACCATAAAGCTGAGGTTACTTTTGGCTCTGAAGCTTTTGCTTTAATAAAAGTAGCCTTTGAAACAGCTCTAGTTTGTTGAGGAACATACACGCTATCTAAAAAAAGAGGTTTTCCATTTTGGGGAAATAATCAAACTTAGCTACTAGGATGCACACATATTTTATTTTCTTTTAAAGAATGTGTAAATGGTTGCAACCAAAGATTTAGGAGATGGCTTTGGCTAATGTGAGACTCATATACAATGTTTTATAATCCTCTGGGGAAAAGATAATAGAAGACATGTTTCTGTGATTAGTATTGCCCAAGTTTGACCCCAAAGAATGTAGATTTCCAAACTGTTTCTTGGGATTCGCAGATGCTACTATAGGTAGTGACAGGAATGAGGAGAGGGAAGACGAGAGACTGGTCATTTTGTTCAGCTTTGTTCTAAAAGCTACAAATGTCAAACGTTAGTCTACTGAAAATCTTTACTAACCCGAGGCTTCCTATAAAGACTTGAGGCAGGTATAAGTAAGTTAGGTTTGTTTTCATTTGTTTCTTATTCTCAAGAAGTAGAAATATGTGGCAAAAGTCGCTAGCCTCCAAACTCTTTAGAAAAAAAGACCTTATCTTTGGGCTTGATTATGAGTTGCCATTCCCCACTGCAGTTACCTTCATCGCAAACTCGTGAACTCTTTCTCCAGCCCACACGGGGTGTGTGTGCGCATCCACCAGACCTGAAATCAACGGATCAAGTCGCCTTAAAGTTCAGAAGCACGAGGCAGTTAGTGAGCAGGCATTTAGTGCACCACGCTGATCTTGGGAAAGCACAGCGGCTGTCTAACTTAGGCAGGGAGGACTGCAAGATTTGACCTGTGAGGTTCCCTCTGCATGGCTGATCTAGAAGGTTCTAATGAAGGAAGGAAACAACATAATGGCAGTATCCCTTATCATTACACAGTTCCTTTGATCAGTAAGTCCATGTTGGCCAAACAAGCTTTTAAAGCAAGTTGTTAAAACCATTCACTGAGCAAGACCAAGGACTATATCAGCAAGGAATCATAACACAACCACCCCTAACTTTGAAAAGAAAAATGAGAAAAATGAATCTACCTTCAAGAAGAAATACTTTAATTAAAGGGAAGCTATAAAGCGACCATGAGAAACTTTTGTTTATCCAGATACAATTCAGTAAAGTGTGGTTTTAAGAAACATTTAAAATATTTTAAATTGCTCATTAATGGTTTTGATTGGGCTAAATCAAAAATCCCTATTCAGATTTTTATCATATTCTGTTTTTTATAATATTTTATCCACACTTTGTATCCTGACTTTGTTTTCTGGTTTTTAATCCTCCAAAAACAGAATGTAGACCTGACAGATGTGCTCAGTAAACATTTTTAAAATACAAAAATTGTATATAAATTAATTATATTAAAATGTGTGTATAATTTTATATACAATAAAGTACTATGCATGGAATTCAAAATTTGTGAGATTTATTTCAGATAGAATGAAATGAAGTCTGAAGTTGATAAACTGATTTTGCTGCCAATTACTTGTAGTGATGTAAGTGAACTGTACGGAAGTCTGCAGGTTGTCTCTGTATGAATTTGGAGCATTTCTGCAATTAGAGACAGCAGCTGCCCTTTCCACCTCCCCTATGCAATGGATTAATAAATTCATTTCATCTGTTTCAACTACTCTGTAGCCTACACACAACACAGTTGGTTTCTTTTTACCATACAAGTGGGAGGAAATGGAGGGAATGAATAGATTTAATAACCAGCCTTCCTTTTACCTTCTTAGCAAACTTGGGCAAGGTATTTCACCTCTTGCTTTCAGTTTTCTCTTGTATAACTTTTAGACAATAACACCTACTTTAGAGGATAACTATAAGGATTCAACATGAAATCATGTTTGTAAACCAGCTAGACACTTAATAGTAGAAATTCAGTACTTGGGAGTACTGTAAGACCCTCTTTGAGACAACTGTCCTCTTTATATTGTGCAGGCAACCATTAAAAATACTTTCAAGGCTTTCTGAAACAGAAGTAAATACCTGGTAGGATACATTTTCCAGAGCAGTCAATTATTTCTTCAAAAGTTGCTTCAGAAAATTGTTTTTGGATAGCATCAGCAGGGCCAATTGCTTCTATAAACCCATCACTGAAGAAAAATCAAGAAATAGTTACTAAATTTGGGGAAAATCTTGTGAGAATTCTGATTAATGATTTAAAATATGTCTTTAGATGCCTTGGTGTTGCTCAACATTTAATATGTTTTCCACTTGAAGCTGAGTCTTGGAGAAAGTGAACCTAGCTATCTTGAAGACAAAAAGTCAAACCACATGTAGCAGATATTGCTAGTTGTTTCCTAAGGTCAATGCTCCCTTTTCCTACTGTTCTAGAAACCAAAGTTTTAGTTGGACACATAACCACCCAGAATAAAGATAACATTTCCCAGTGTCTCATCAGCCAGATGTGGCCAGGTGATGAAGTTCTGGTGAATAGGACTGTTTTTATCCTTTATTCTCATTGGCTAGAATGTAAACACCATACCAGAGAAGGAGCCGCCATCTTGGATCTTGGAGTGACTGTATGAAAGTCAGCCATGTACAACAGAGCAAGGAGGAACGTGGCTCCTAACAGCTTCACGGAGAGCAGCATTCAGCTAGCTCTGCATCTGCTTCTGGGTTTTTACATAAGAAAGAAATCGACTTCTACCTTATTTCAACCACTGTTAATTAGGGTCTTTGTCACTCACTGCAAATTAGTGCTTCCAAAATGGAGATTTGGTGCTATAAACCTGAGAGGTGGGAAGTGCTGTGAAATGCAAGTGGGGGTAAAGGATTCGGAAATGACACATAGGTGGTTTGAGTAACCTAACAGAAGAACGGGGCAACCAAAACTGGGTAAAAAGAGAGATATCAGGAAAGGGAAGAAATATTAATGATCATGGGGATTAGGTGAATGACAAATTTAGGAATAGAGGAGGAAATTAAATTTTAGAATTTAGTTATCACTAACAGCGTTCACCTGGCCCAGTTCAATAGTCCACCCACAATGCACTGCCTCTGGTGTTGGAAGAATCAGCAGGGTTAGAGACTGACCCACGAATGGGAAAGACCAAGGAGAATGCTCCCTTTCAGTGCTATTTTTCTCATTTTTTATCAGAACTGTGTCCCTTTCAGCATGAAGCAGTATTAGCCAGGAGCCATTGGGAAAATGATCAGATAACGCCTTGTAAAGAGTTCATAGCCAGGCTGGGAATATAGCTCAGTGGCACAGTGCCTGCCTGGCAAGCACAAGGTCCTGAGTTCAATTCCCGGTACCAAAAAAAAAAAAAAAAAAAAAAAAAGAGTCCACGGCTGACACTGTTGTAGGAAGGACTTATTTGTGCTTTAACCTAAGAAGTAAGTCTAATCTCTACCAGCCTCAATCTGCATGTGAGGAGGCCTCTAAGGGCATTAATCATATATTTTTTCCCTTCTAAGAACAAATTGGTCTCTCATTTATTAGTGGATTCTTATATATCATGTTTGAACAAAGTCTTAGGTTTAAGGACAGTTACTGAAGAAAACTAAAAGTATCCCTGCCCAAATTATTTCAGTAGCCACTTAAAATTACAAAGGTATCTATTTGAGCTATGGTAGATTTTTCACTATTTGTTAATAAGTGGAAAAAACAGGGCACACAGCATTCATTTCCTTTTAATAGCATACGTTTATGCAATTCTATTTGCACAGGAAGACATTCAGAAAGAAGCGTCACCCACTGTCACCATCAGTTCATGGAATGTTGAGTCTGAATGACTCATTTTTCATTGTTGTTTGTGTGTGTTTTCTCTTTTTATATAATAAACATAAATCACAGGGGAATTTTTTAAGGGGGACAAACAAGGATGCACTGCTGCTGCTTTATGTACCCTGTTCTGAGAAGAACAATTCTACAGAATCTTCTGGAAGCAGTAAAGGACACCAGCACGCCCAACCCTACCTTTGAAACTACAGTCTGATCCTCACCACAGAGCAGTAATGAGGGAGGGTAAGTTAGGGAGAACCATGCTTCTTACAGTGGCTCTCAAGGTGTCTCATGAAAGCTGGGAATTCACCCATGACCACTGCAGTTACTAACATCTAAACACCGCTCTTATTTCATAGATGCGTGAATCTACCCCTACCATTGGTAAGGCGGCCTTCAAGCAGTGCTTCAAAGCCCCCCATGCACCCCTCTCTCCACCTGTGCATTGCCATCCTGCGTCCTAACTACCTTTTCCTGCATCCCGTCTCCCAATAGACTCAGCTTCGAGGGCAGCATCCAGGCGTAGTCACATTTGCATCCCCAAAGTTGAGCACAGGCCACAACTGATGGATGAATGAAAAGGTCCTTTTTTTTAAGGTTCATTTTTCACCTGACTCTTTCACTGATCTCCAAGAGATAAAACAGCCATCAGGTTTCACATCAACATCTTCCGTTTAGCCTCTCTCCTCTGAAGTACTAAAGCAAACGATCCTTGTGGATGAATCTGTATTTCCATTCCTATTTGTTTCGTCCATTTTTTATCTTGGTCTTAGCCTTCTGATGGGGCACTTTAAAAGAGGGGAGGAGGTGCTGGCTTGCGCTTCTCTTCTAACACTTAGCGACAGACTCAGGAGCGTCTCCAAGATTAGTAACAACCTCCACACACAGATACTGATGCAGAACAAGAATAAGGTATCTTTGAAGACCCAAAGAGTGAGCACAGTAGTGGAATTCAGACCCCATGGCAGATAACCATGGGGTTTTCAGGAAGGGGAAGTTTTTGGATTCCTCAAGCCATTTTCTTTTCCAGGATTCATTTTCTGCAGCTGGAGCCTTTACGGGATTGACTAGTACTTGATCTGGCTGAGGTTCAGACTACTCAGAGCGTGTTTACAGCACCCAGTTCCATTCTGGAGCTTTCTTCCAGCCCTCAGCAGCATCGCTGTGCCCATACACTACCCTCTCAGCTTGCTCTCTTCTTGTCTACCGAAAGAGAAGCAGGATCCAGCTGCCTCTAAACACACAGGTTCTACATAAGAAAAATGATGAGGAAAACGACACACCTACCCGCTTCACCCCCAAAACACTTTTCCCTTGGAAAGTTCAGATAGTAAAGGCAGAGAACACACTCAAAGCAACTTGAACCACTGGATAACTATTTCAGTTCCCTTCTTTCTCATGTGTATAAAATACTGATGATGGTGAAGTTAAAAAAAAAGCCCCATCCTGTACCCAACCAAGTCGCATGTGAGCAGCAAAGTACTGAATATTCCCGTAAACATATTGTGAAATAATAAACCCAACAAAATCTAAGAACTGTGTGGCAGAGGCAACTCAAGAAAACTGTACTTCCCACCACAAGTAAACTCCTGCTCTTGTCGTTCCTCTTTTCAGTGGTTTTCATGTGGTCATTAGAAAGAGCACGCATCTTGAAAGCCAAGCCTGCATGCCAGTAGGATTACTGTAATTTCTGCAGATACTGTTCCCCAACATAGGTAGATATTTTCTCAACTTGCTCAGTAAGTGTGCTACTCTCACCTATTTTAACACATTTTTGACAATGGCAGAAAATAGTGTCATCTGTATATTAACTAAACACAAGCTCAGAGTTCCTAAAAGCAGGGCTTTTACGCAACTTTAAGCAGCCTGAGATAAGCGAGTTTGTTTGGGACATTTGACGCAATCAAGGTGCCCTGTGGCTCTGGGGTGTAAATCCCCACCCAATTCCCATTCCTACTCCGGGCTGCCATCCCAGTTTTTGGCTCTTCCTTTCTCCACGCCTGGCAGGAAACTGGAACGCGGAGAGATAATAATGGAAAATACCAGCTCTTTCAATGAGACCAAATCTTGATTTCCACCCAGCAAAGCTACCATCGAATTGCGTTCTAGTTCTCAGACATCAGTGTGTGGACTACAGGGACACTAGAGGTGTTTCTTAACACTCAAGTCTCAGAACTCCATCCGCGGAGTTGTGGACTGAAAGCTCTCCGCACAGGAAACGGAATCAGAAATCTCTTTTAAAAAGAGAAACAGCCGCCAGGCACCGTAGCGCACGCCTGTAATCCCAGCAGTCAGGAGGCGGAGGAAGAAAGACCCCTATGTGTTGGAGGCTAGCCTAGGCTACATAATGAGTTCGAGGCCAGCCTGAACGGTACAGC